TGAGACGCCTGAAGACGTATCACGATCATAATTTGCTTCTGAGTGTGTTTGGGGCGTGCGAGGAAGTGGTTCCGCAGTTTGTGTAGACATACATGATTCCGAAGTATGCGTAGAACGCACGGGTGTGACAATTTCTGGCTTGTTCGTTTTGACCCAAGTCAAATCTGTTTGGCAAGTTACAGACGATGTGGATACTGGCGATGTATTTACCTTTGGCCTGATTTCAGAGGGTGTCTTAGTCACAGATGCATACGTATCGTTTGGCAATGTAGATTCAACCAACTTTTTTTGCATCAGCAAAGCTAATGTTTTGTGTGAATTTAATTCTGTTGATGTCCATTTGTTTTTCCACATTTTGCAGTCTTTTGAAAAAGAAGAATGGCTACCCGAACAGTTTGTGCACTTTTTAATGACATTGTCGCAGTCTTCCGTGACATGAGTCGTCTCGCTACAATGTCCACATGTTACTGGCTTTGTGCAAGTGTTTGCACCATGACCATATTTTTGGCATCTATAACACCTTAACGGATTTGGAATATAGATATCGACTGCAATGTTACAATATCCTGCCTTTATTGACTGTGGGGGATTCGGGGTTGAGAACGAAAACAGATAAGTATTAGTTTGAATAGTCTCATTGTTTCTGCGGGTAGTGAACCTTTTGACATAAGTAACTCCTTGGTCCTTCATTTCCGACACAATATCCAGTTCCGTCATGTCAGTCAACAAGCGTTCCCTGTCTCTGATAATGCCTTTGCTGGTATTCAGTGTTCTGTGTGCTGACACTGAGACAGGAACACCCACAAATGATTCAATAGACATTAGGTTTGATGCTTGGTGCCTTTTGCTACATTCAATTAGCAATGCACCTGAACGTAAACGTTTAATGTTTTTGACGTCTCCCGCAATGCCATGTATACCCTTTGATACAGCAAATGGGTTTAATTTCAGGGGCATTTTATCAGGACTTTCCAGCACCAGGAAACGTGGCCAGTAATCAGTAGTGAGTGAAGGTCGTTCATCGTCGTTGTCCAGTGGACGTTTGGTTTTGAGGGGTTTGGTACTCCATGGTTGTTTATATAATGGTTCATCATCCGAGCTCCCCACCCGCCACGGAGTGTCATAAAGACAGTGCTAATAACAAGTGGATCTCCGACTTGCAGCACCAGGGATACCCGGATGATATACGCCAGCAGAAGAATTAAAGAATTAATTAATCTACCAGATTGGCCCATGAGCCACCGCCTTCTGGGTATATGACTCTAGGCAAATTACAAAATTGATGAAGATGCACTTGAAATTCAATTGATAAATAATTTAGCCAAGACTTTTATCAAAACCAGTTAAAAAGTATTTTGTGAAATACAATAATACTCAGGGCTTGGCATGACCAGCCGATTGGTTGAACCGGGCCAATTCAACCACCCGTCTAGGTGAAGTAAGGGTCGAAGTGGTGTATTGGGCAAAGGAACGCTGTTCCTGGAACCCTTGCCCTCAACCACCAGAATCCCGTCCTCCACCGACACAGGGGCGCAACCCACGGCAAACGGGTTGGTGGACCAAAATATCCCCCCGGGTCCACAACGGGGGGTTGAAAGGCGCTTAGCGTGACCCAGCACCCACCACGAGGAGGTGGCCTTTCATGGGTGCCGAAGCAATTAATTACCTGAGAATTCATTAGTGAAAAACAATGCGTTGCAGCACCACCATAAATGGAAGTCGTTGACAAGCACTGTGGCAGGCCTTATGAAAAGTAAACACTTGTGTAAACATGGGTGTGTCTTAACCGCCAAAGATATAGTCCCCGTGAACGAAAACAGACTGAGTTGTTGGGGGAGAGACGGGGTGTGATACGACTCCTATTAACATCTTCGGGTTGGGAAACGTTGAAAAACACGACCTTTCACCCATTCTCTCTTTTCTCATGACGTCATAGCTTTATATGCATTCCGTGTGATCATTGTAGACCCAATTAGATAGAATGGTCTAATCAATTAATCATATTGTGTTATTTTATTCGAATATGTCGCACTTTTGTCAGTAAATGTATGATACTCAAAGTCACTAGTATCTACCTGTCTACCCTTTTCTGATAGGTTCATAGTTTTATATGCACTATGTGTATAGATTGTAGATATTACATTTTTCTAGAGATATTTTTTATAAATCCGGTAATTTTCGTGAATAATCATTTTCATATGAAATTCAAAGATATCAATAATGTTGTGTTAGAAATTAATATTGCATTTATTATATTTAGATTATGTCCTATAATGTGTACATATGTCAGACTTTGTGTTACTAAATGTATGATACACAAAAAAACACATGAGCCCACGCCCGAAAGCTATGATGGCACAATGCCATTTGGAAAGTGGTCAAATGCAACATATGTTATATTTGGATTACACTTTCTATTGTAAAGTACAGATTCTAGTACTTTTGTTGGGTTGAGTCACATCTGAATTGTTAGTTACATTTTAATTTTGGAAGACTTAAGCGTTTTTGATTCTCACAGGAATATTACATTCCACCAGTCAGGTGGTTTCGTGTTTCTCTTTGACCATGTGTCAAGATTTGTACTTTATCACGTCTGTGTCTGTATTGCTGTGGATACCTTTTGTATTCAGTAGTTTGCACGATCAAGTTAAGTGAGTGACTGAGTGAGTGTAGTTTTACGCTGCACTAAGCAATATTCCAGGTATATGACGGCTCTCTGTAAATACTCGAGTCTGGGCTAGACGGCTCAGTGATCAATATCATGAGCATTGTTCTAAGCAGTGGAGATACGTCAACCAAGTCAGTGAGTCTGACCACTCGATCCCGTTTGTCATCTCCTACGACAAGCATGGGTTGCTGATGATCAAATCTATCCGGATCTTCACGGGTAATAAGCAAGTTGATGTACGAGTCTTGACTGGCAACAACGAAAAACTCGATTTTAAGCGTGAGGTGTACGACAAGGATGCAAGGGCTCTAAGCCCCAATCATATTGATTTCAGAATTTCTTCTGCAATCCCTGTATTCGCACCTGCACCACTCCCTATTATGAATTATTACTACTTATTCGTAATAATTAGTAATGAAGCATTAATTTCAAATCCTAAGGCATTGTTTGGTAAAGGTATGCATGTATAATAATGTTATAACTAAACCCGGAACCACGTAATTTGAGGCAATAAACTTGAAATAAAATATACAGTAATGACTTTCATATTAGAACGGAATACTACGTCTCTTTGCTGGTGATCGGCGAGATTCAAATATTTACACAAGGACCACATGACAAAAGGGAATACCCATGTGGACGTTTCTATCTGTATTCCTCCATATTTTGTTTTCTACTTGATATCATTTCTGGGATCTCATGATTTCTCGACTTCCACCATGTGTGTATGTTAAAATGTCTGTCAGTTAATAGTGTCCAAGATTGCCGCAGGGCTCAGACGTATGTGAGAGAGCTCCCGATTTGTGTGCTGCAAGTTACATTGATGCAAGTTGCGGACAAGTGAAAGTTACGTTCCCAAATACAGCAAAATGTTCTGCAACTATCAATAGCATTTTGAGCTTCATTGAATTTCAATCTGGAAATGATGCCATCATCACGAGATAGACAAGGTAGAAGGGGCACCAACACCACTGCACATACACCTCATCAAAGGAACAGCAGCGAAATGAAAACCATCCGGATCTCTGTTGGATTCAGTGCCTCCTATGTCGTCTAAACCATTGGTACAATCAACATTACAGCTAGATTTACTAGATGTGTTTTCCTTTGGGTAGTGTAGAACACCGAAAACACACAAGACATGATGGCGGCCACCATCCAACAACAAGGTGATACCAACCCAGTGAGTGGCGCCTTTAATCAGGATAACTCCTACCCTTCCACGCTCTTCAATCTCTTCAGCGAAGCGTCAATGGATGTGATAACAACCAAAATTACAAATGTCCTCGTGTTACCTGCACTACAAATATAAATTCAGGGAATTGTTTGTTACCGTGGCCAAAGACGCAAACTAAACGATCCTCTGTTCTTCCTAATCTGTTATATTGTCAAACTCAAGATCTCTCCTGTATATGTTCTCTGTATAATTGTTGTAAATATTGGGAGGGGCGTCATTAAGATGGATAACTTGTGCCCAATGCTTTTCCCTCAATGAATAAAATATGTTTAAATTAAAAAAAAATCAGACATTCTATCCTCAGAGGATCTATATCCCCAACAGTATGATACCGTCATTACAAGAAGCTTTCCTTTAAGTATGATTGCATAGATTTGACAGACGGAGGGTATCCTGGTGGTAAAAACGCCCTCGTTACGCCGAAGACCCGGGTTCGATTCCTCACATGGGTACAATGTGTGAAGCCTATTTCTGGTGTCACCCCGCCGTGATGTTGCTGGAATATTGCTAAAGTGGCGTAAAACCATACTCACTCACTCACTCATGAGAATATTGTCGGTCCTAATTGCCCGATGCATCGAATAATCAATAGCATATGCAAATCACATAATATTTATCAACTAAATAAATATTGTAATCACACAGATAGCGACCATAGCTTATATATTATTTTTAATAATTGGCTCGAAAAACGGATCGTACGAATGACTTGACGTGCTGTCCAATTTAAAGCTAAGATATTTTTGTTAAACTGAAATTTGAAATTTATAATACCTGAGGAACTCATTATTTGTTTACAGAACTCATTATTTGTTTTCGTCACAGCTGTTTGTGTTCCAGCACCTCTTAAAGAAGTGTTTCAGTCATATCACGATGTGTTAGCTGAATGCTGCAGAAGGTCCCGAATCTAGGATTCGAATCCAAGATCATTTGATCCAGGAACGAGGAAGGGACAAATCTCCATACAGATAATTGTTTAAACTTAGGTCGCTGCTCCAGATATGTCTCCACAAGTCACCAGATATGTGTCTTGTGTATTCAGACTGAGATGGAGATGGTAACCAAATATATTACAATATATAGTATCTGCTGCAGGTGTGAGACAAAATGTCGCCCAGGGAAAACCAGCATGGATGAGTACCACACGTCAACCCTCACAGTCTGCTGGTAATGCTGTAGATGGAGTGATTAAAGCCTGGAGTGAGACGTATTCAGTCCACACCGCAGTTAACGAAACTACCGCCTGGTGGAAGGTGGATCTACAGACACAAGTACAGTCAGCAGAGGTTAACATCTACTTCCGAACAGATTGTAAGTGTGAACCACCTTTGTTGAAGCACGTATTATGTGATGCTTTATGAATCCCACTGTACATTAGCATCTTGTAACTCACAAAACCTGTCCAATACACTCACTGTGATATGTGGATGTTACTGTATGTATACATGAAACCTGCTTGTATAGTATTAGTACAACTGAAGCAGGTTGCCAAGACTCCACTCCACAAAAATCCACGATACATAAACTCACCTTGAATCTTGGTGTGTCAGAATCACAGCAATTAAACAATATCGAATACAATAAGCTGCCTTTATTGATTGTTGTTTTGGTATAATCTATTACTACTTTGACAAAAAGATGGTCTGACAGAGACATATAGCTCTTGGCATGTCCCCATAGCGTCAATAGCAAAGAAGATGACAAACCAGTCTTTAATTCAAGGCGCAGAGCTATTTTGACAGCCCTGCCTTTCAAGAAGTTATTGGCGTGTACGTATTGTTAGACAGGTTTAAGTCAGTGACAGGCTACTGTTTCGGGACATGGCTTATCGACACAACATGTACGACACAACATGGCGATAGTACGACACCACATGGCGATATTGAGACACAGCATGGCGATGGTACGACATAACATGGCGATAGTGCGACACAACATGGCGATAGCACGACACGATATGGCGATAGTACGACACGACATGGCCATAATACGACACGACATGTACGACACAACATGGCGATAGTACGACCACAACATGGCGATAGTACGACTCAACATGGCGATATTGAGACACAGCATGGCGATGGTACGACACAACATGGCGATAGTGCGACACAACATGGAGATAGTGGCGATAGCACGACACTATATGGCGATAGTACGACACGACATGGCCATAGTACAACACAACATGTACGACACAACATGGACATAGTACGACACGACATGTATGACACAACCTGGTTATGGTACAAGACGACATCTACGACACAGCATGGCGATGGTACAAAGACGACATGTACGGCACAGCATGGCGATAGTACAAGACGACATGTACGGCACAGCATGGCGATAGTACAAGACGACATGTACGACACAGCATGGCGATAGTACAAGACGACATGTACGACACAGCATGGCGATAGTGGCGATAGTGCGACATATAATTGGTCATCAAGTACAACACGACATGTACGACAGAACATGACTATAGTAAGACATGATATGGCGATAGTACGACAAAACGTTGCGATAGTACGACACGACATGTACGTCGCAAAATGGCTATAGTACAAGACGACATGTACAACACATCATGGCGATAGTACGACACAACATGGCTATAGTGCGACACATAGTGGCCATAGTACGACCCGACATGTACGATACAACGTGGCGATAGTACAACATGACATGTACGACACAGCATGGCGATAGTGGCGATAGTGCGACACACAGAGGACATAGTACGACACGACATGTACGACAGAACATGGCTATAGTACGACACGATATGGCGATAGTACAACACGAAATGTGCGACACAGCATGGAGATAGTACAACACGACATGTACTACGCAACATTGCGATAGTAGGAAACAACATGGCTATAGTGCGACACATAGTGGCCATAGTACGACACGACAAATTACGATACAACGTGGCGATAGTACAACATGACATGTACGACACATCATGGCGATAGTACCACACACTACATGGCTATAGAATGACACGACATGTACAACACATCATGGCGATAGTACGGCCTAACATGGCTATAGTGCGACACATGTACGATACAACGTGGCGATAGTACAACATGACATGTACAACACAACATGGCGATAGTACGACACAACATGTTTATAGTGCGACACATGAAGTGGCCATAGTACGACACGACATGTACGACACAACGTGGCGATAGTACAACATGACATGTACAACACATCATGGCGATAGTGCGACCACAACATGGCGATAGTACGACACAACATGGCGATAGTGCGACACGACATGTACGATACAACGTGGCGATAGTACAACATGACATGTACGACACAACATGGCGATAAAAGGAAACAACATGGCTATAGGTGCGACACACGTGGCCATAGTACGGCAACGACATGTACGATACAACGTGGCGATAGTACAACATGACATGTAATGACACAGCATGGCGATAGTGGCGATAGTGCGACACATAGAGGACATAGTACGACACGACATGTACGACAGAACATGGCTATAGTACGACACGATATGGTGATAGTACAAGGACGACATGGTGCGACACAACATGGCAATAGTAGGACACAACATGGCTATAGTACGACACAACATGGCGATAGTGGCCATAGTACGACACGATATGTAGGACACAACATGGCGATAGTACAACACAACATGGCTATATAGTATGACACGACATGTACGACACTAGATGGCTATAATATTACACGACATGTACGACAACGTGGCGATAGTGGCAATAGTGACGGTACGACATAGTGGCCATAAGTACGACACGGCATGTACGACACAACGTAATATGATACAACACGACATGTACGACACAACATGGCTATAGTTTGACACGACATGTGCGACAGAACATGGCTATAATTACAAGACACGACATGTGGCACGCACATACAACGCATGACACAACGGCAATAGTAATGACATAGTGGCCATGCATGACATTGCAACAACATGGCGATAGTACGACATGTATAGTATCGACACAACATGGCAGATAGTAGTACACACACGACATGTACGACACAACATGGCGATAGTACGACACGATATGGCGATAGTCTGACGACATGTACGACAACGTGGAGGATAGTAATGACACGATCGACACGACAATGTACGACACATTGCGAGATGAACACGCTTACGACACGATAGTATGACACGACACAACATGGCTATAGTTTGACACGACATGTACGACACAACATGGCTATAGTATGACACGACATGTACGACACAACATCGCTATAGTACAACCACGACATGTACGACACAACATGGCTATAGTAATTTGACACAACATGAGCATATAGTTTGCCACGACATGTACGACACAACATGGCCATAAACGATGACACGACATGTACGACACAACGTGGCGATAGTACAACAAGACATGTATGACTGGCAGTGGCGATAATACGACACATAGTGGCTATAGTACGACACGACATGTACGACACAACATGTCTATATTTACCAGAAACGATATGGCGATAGTACGAGACACAACGTGGCGATTGCACACTGACGACATGTACGACACAACATGGCGATAGTGGCGATAGTACGACAGTAGTCATGGTCATAATTTTACAACCCGCGACGTACGACACAACATGTCTATAGTA